TAGAAACTCTTCTGGTTTCTTAATATTTTTGCACAGTTTGTACTCAGTATAACCTTTCATTTTGTGTACATTTAGTTGGATAAGCTAAAAACTATGAATTACTTAATAGCTTACTAAGCATATTTCTAATAATATTAATCTAAAGTGATATGTGAGGAGGCAGTAGATGGCCTTAGAATCCGTGCAGAACCAATGACCTGTGTCGTTTCTAGGTATGTTTGTGTGTATGTAGGACTTGCAAGTGTTGGCAGTTTCCTATTAAAGTAGAAGAAACAATAAAATAAACTATGCACATAGGCAACCAGTGATTTTTCCTGTGTCATGTTGTTTAGCATATACTGTTACCAAGGGAAGTACTGTATACTCTCCTATGTAACTTACTAGAGACCCAAACTTGTTTTTGTTTTCTATTACTCTACTGTTCTGTTAATTGTTGCTCTTCACTTTCTAACTGTCAGATATAATAATTACCTTTCCTTAAATATTTCCATGACTTTATTTCCCAAACATTATTTCACATGTATGCTAAGAGAGGACAAAATAGCCTAAGTCTGAGGTAAGCTTTGAAGTGACTCTTCAGTGATTGTTCTAACCACATTTTGAAGACCCACTTGACATGAGTCAGGGCAAGAATTCAGTACCACTGAAACATTTGAAGGAAATAGAAGAAAAGTCATACTTAAGTCATAAAATGTGAATATGTACTAAGGGAACAACAATTTTGTCAGATTCTTTAGATATATAATAATTTATAAGAAATGGAATCATTTACAGAGGTATAACACAATCTAAGTTGGCCAAATCTAAGCATTTTTAATGTTAAATTTCACTGTTGGCCTTTTCTCTTGTCATAACGAAAAAAAAAGATTCTTAGTTGACATTAGAAAACAAACATTGCTGACATTTGTATCAAGTAATGGTATAGAAATTTAATTAGGACCATGACAGATTTTTTAAAAATCTGGTAACTGTAACAAATGCATCACTTTAATAAAAATTCTGGCAAGAAATGCATAATAAAACACCCAGTATGTATCTGTGTGTACAAATAATTTATATTCTTTTAATAAGGAAAACAGGCTTTAACAATCACATATTACAACATTTTAATCTGAAGACATTATCTTCTGATAGGCAAAAAGCTTACTGTGTTTCTCTGGGGATACATCTGTACTTGAAATAATTTGGCTCATATATCAGGTTTAATTAGTGAGTCAATTGTAAATATCCATTGTGTAAATCCTGCTATGAGAAATTGAAATCCATACGAAGTAAATATTTAATTAAAAATTAATTGTAAACTAGCTTTAGAAACTTTAATATATTTTAAAAATTAATTGCCTTGAGAGTCCATGTTTTCCCAAAGAGGGAAGCAGGGAGCTGCACTTTATACCAATGATCAAGACCCTTATTCATGGATAGAAAGGTTAGCAGAAAAGTTTAACTTTTAAACCCACCATTTTCTGTATGGCACTTTTACTTCTCAGAGACAACTTAATTTTTAAAAATGAAGTCTGGACATTGGATATTTGATTGTCTTTTGAAGATAAGGGAATTAGCTAATACTATAATATTCATAAATATTTATTTTTGAAGTTAAGTTCTGGCAAAATAGAGAATATGATTGAAATGTTTCAGTAGTTCTCTCTTGCAGATGTTGAGTATGTTTAGAAAGGTCAATTTAAGCTTTTCTGTTTTAATCCCCTATTAGGAGTAAATATATATATATATATATATATATATATATATATATATAATTTGAAGAAGTCATAAAAGAGAAAAGGAGATACTGGAAGTGACTTAAATATAATCTATGTGAATTTACTGCAGTGCTAACACTGTTCAAGATTTCATCCACTGTGGAGAACCTTTTCCATATTCCTTATTTTCCTCTACTCAGAGTTCATGTGGTTCTCACAGTTGATTTTTAAAGCTATTAACTCACAACTAGCTTTAGTGGTACTTTGTATTAGCACTTCAGCAAAAGCATAACATGTAAACCCATGATCAATTTGGCAAGAATACAATTTCTGATTCTAGAACCAGTAGATAAGCAAATCTGTTTAACCAATAGATAAAATAGAAATCTAAGTACTGGAGGAAAAAACTAGTATATTTGATCACATATGCTTTAGAAAGATGCAACCTAATTTTCAAAATAAGTATTTCATGAATCAAGCAGTGACTTTCTCAGTTTCCTTTGTTAAAAAAATATATGAAAACCATAAAAAGTTTAAAAATGCAAGCAATATTTCCTAACTGTCTTTAATATATGTAACTGAATATACCCTCATGCTTGAATGATAGGGGAAAAAAAAAGACTTGGCCAAATGAAAGAAACCAATTTATGATAATATTGGCCACCAAAATATTATTTTAGTTATTATTTTTAAAATTCCTGGCTGACACATTTGAAATGTTCCCAGTCCTGGCTTATATAACTCAAAAAACACAGACTAAACATGACTTTCAAGGGCAACTCTGAATGTTAATGTTTCCATTTTCGGCCTCATGGCAGAAAGAGTTTTATTAACCAGTGTAAGCTCTGGAATGTCAAAGGCGTGATAGGCAGTACAGACTCCACACACAAAATAGATGCATAGTCATTTTATTCTAAATTGCTTCACTTGAAAATGTACCATGAAAATCTGGAGAGAGGAAGTAAAAGTAAGTGATTTTATAGTGCTCTAAAAGTTGAGACTTGAAAAATAAAAGTCCTAGGATAAACATGCTCTAGCATTCGCATTTGTGATGTAGCTAATCCTCTTAGGTTCCCTTACACCTGCCTTATAGTTTGAGTAACTAAGAGCAAGTCCCATAGGTGCCAGGACAGCCTTGTCTGTAGGGTTTTCAGGTTTTCTAGAAACTAACAGGCACTGTGGGCTTCTCTGGTGGCTTAGATGGTAGAGAATCTGCCTGCAATGCGGGAAACCCGTGTTTGATCCCTGGGTCAGGAAGATCCCCTGGAGGACGGCATGGCAACCCACTCCAGTATCCTTGCCTGGAGAATCCCATGGGCAGAGGAGCCTGGTGAGCTATACCCAGGCGGTTGCAAAGAGTCAGACATGACTGAAGTGACTTAGCACACGTGCATGCATAACAGGCTTTGTCTCAAACCGCCTACTTCTTTCTTATATTATATAATAACATATTCTAAGAAGCAGAGTAGACGATTAGGAATTTTACATACTCATTTAGTCATTTCCAGGTAATAATTAGTGTAGCATGATAAGATCTGGTGGAACTGGAGCTCCCAGGCCAGGTGTCTTGGATCTAGAACAGCCTCCTCTGTTTAGTCCTCCCCTATTTACCATCTGTTTATTCCTCTCTGCCTTCCCCTGTTTATCTTTATAAAGAAATCTATACACTGTGATTTTTAAAAGATTGGAGTACTGTTTGGGGTTATATATGCTTGATAGTATAATTGTAATTACACATTAAAAACTAGAATCTTTACCCATTAGATTGTAGTCTTTACACAGTCAAGAAGGGCCAAACTCATCTGTGCATATTACCCTCACCCCTGCATATGGTGCTGTTCATTCAATAAAAAATGATTGATCTTTAGTTGTATGGAATGTAGTGAGAAGGACAGAGAGTGTCTCTGTTTTAATGGACGTTATATTCCAGTACATAAAGATAAACAATAAATGACTAATACAGAAGAAAAATCTGAATGTGAAAATGTGATGTTAAGAAAGTTATATGACTCAGGAAACTCAAACCAGGGCACTCTAACAACCTAGAAGGGTGGGATGGGGTGGGAGGTGGGAGGGAGGCTCAAGACGGAGGGGACATATGTATCTCAATGGCTGATTCATGTTGGTGTTTGGCATAAACCAATACAACACTATAAAGCCATTATCCTTCAATTAAGTAAAATTTTAAAATGAAACAGATAAAATTAAACTGTATTATTTGAGTTAATAAAAAGTTATAGAAATGGTAACTAAGAAGCAAATTTGGGTAGCATCTTCATGAAAAGCCTTTCTGAGCAGGTGATGCTTAAACTGAGTCCTGAATGATAAGAAGGAGAGATTATTTAAAGATATGGAGGAAGACCAATTGGGGGTAAAGCAAACAGCTTGACACAGTTAAAGAGAGAAGATAAGTATGACTGAAACATAGTGTCAGAGGGTAAGAATGGTACGCAGTTACTTTAGAGAGGAAGAAAGGTACTAGATCATATAAGGATTTCTGGTTACATAATTTGGATTTTCCTTCTTAGTGTCATGGGACCACATTGGTTTTTATCCAGGGGAATGCCATCTGATTTATAGTTGAGCAGAGGAGAAGGAACCAGCAAAGAAACTAAAAAGCAGTTCTTAGTGAGATGAAAGGATAATCAGGTAAAGGTGGTACCTAAAACTCAAGAAGAGAGAAGGTCCACTATGGAGTGGTTAATTAGGTTGGTAACTGGAATGTCGATTAAAATAGTATCACAAAATGGCTATTAGATTTGGGAACCTGGAGGTTGATGGCAACTTTTATAAGAGATGTTTTAATGGGATAATGAATAAAGGGAATAGTAGGGTAAGGGAGTGGAAAGAGTAACTGTAGGAAACACAAACTATTTTTTAGTGAAGAGGAACATATAACAAGGCAGAAGCGATAAGAGTTTTGGGGTCAAGAGTTTGTTTTGGTTTGGTTGTTAATGGAGAACTGTAGAGGAGACACTGAAGACGCTCGAGGCAGCCAAGTATTTTAGGAGAACAGTCCTTGAAAAGGTGACAGGAAGTGGGATAAAGGACAGCACATCTTAGTATGCCTTTATCAGCAGATGCTTTTTCTCTCTTTCCTTTCACATTCCGTTGACAAAAATGTGCAAATCTTGCTGAGCACCATAGCAGAAAATTTGCTGGAAATGGTTCTAATCTAATAAAAATTGCATTACTCAAAGCAGAAATGGCAGAAATGAATCACACTCATTTGGGAAAAAAAAGTTTCTTGGTGTACAGAGCAGGAGACTTTTAATTTCCTTTTAAAATTTTATCTTTCAGGTGCTTCAAGAAGACCTAGAACAGGAACAAGTCAGAGTCAATTCTCTCACGCACATGGTGGTGGTTGTTGATGAATCTAGTGGTGATCATGCAACTGCTGCTTTGGAAGAACAACTTAAGGTCAGATTATTTTCTTTAATACAGTAAATATGTCATTCAAAATAATTAATTGCAATTCAGAAAATATTTAGAATATTTAAAACAGAATTTGTATATGGCAAATATTAAGCATGCAACATATTTATTTAAACTGATTCAAATTATGTCTCATCTGTGGGACATTTGTGCATAATTCCTTTTCACTATTCACTGTTTGTTCATAGAAGCTTCTTGGCCTTTGGGGAAATACATAACTGCAGATCTGTTTTTTAATTATAGTGAATACCATATATGAGATAACTGGTAGTGGAATATTATTTATGTTCTCATCAAGCCTGCAATCTGAGGACAAAGGTTAAAAAAAGAACACAAAAAGGATCACATTCAATCAAATAAAAAATCTAGCACCTTCATTATGTTTATTCCTGGAAGCTTTCAGTTTTAAGTCTCATTGAGAATATAGCAAAATTTTTATATCATGGAAGTTCCGTTGGAGCAGACACTTAGACCATCAGTCTCTCATTCAGTCTGACTCATAGTAATTGTGTCCTTGGAAACTTAACTCATACATACTGATAAGGGATAATGTGAATATTTTCATATTTTTATATTTTCTTCCTAATTGAAAATGATAAAGTTGTATTGTATTTTTTTAAAATTCAACAATGCATATATGCATATACCAAACATCAACATGAAGGAAAAATACAGCAGTTTATTGTTCAGAATGTAAAACATACATTCACACATTTACACAACCACAGATTATATTTGAGGCATTCATTGTACCCACCAAATGCTGGTCTTTCTTTGATGGTTAGGGGCCAATAGTCTGACACGTCTCAGGATCCAATCAGTGTGGGTTTAAATAGCTTTATAAGGCCAAGATTGTTCTAAACCTAGTTTCGCTTACCTAACCTATAACATGATTTCTTAAAGCCTTATCTCTGTTTTCTTCTCTTTTTGTGTGAATTGTATTTTTTTTAATCCCAGTGAAATGTCATTTCCTAAGGTTACTGCTTTAGACTGCAATCTCCAACAATATTATCTCACTCTACATCATTAAATGAGAAAGACAAAGCTGTTGAACTGCTACAATTGAGCATTTAATATATACTAGTGATTCATGTTAATTGCTTATGTTTCAATGAAATTGCGAGGATTACAGATCTAAAAAGGTTTATGACACTCAATAATATAAAGTCTCATTGCATATGTGATCAGATTTGTTTTACACACACACACACACACACACATACACACACACACGACTTGCTAAAGGACTGACAGGCTGCTGCTACACCCATCTTAAGAAATGCCATAGTTCTGATACAATAATGTTGTGACTATTTACAAATAGGTAAAAATCTAATATTCAGTGTTTCTTAGACATTTTCAGAAAAGTTGAAAGAAGGCCTGGAGGCAAAGGTTAGATGCGTGACTGGTTAAAAAAAAAAATAACAGAAACTTTTCTAAGTCATAGAGTATTTCCAGTGAAAATAACAACTGAAAAACATTCAGTTTGGCATCACCAGACCTAGTACAACTAGCTTTAGAATATAATTATTCCAAGGTGATGCCTGTGGGACTAGGCCACCTTGAACTGTTTAGTCCAGAGCACTCACAGATGGTGACTGGGTTAGATCTTAGGTAATAAATTAAGAGTGGTGGCCCTAAGGTTTTCTATATTTATTATCCCACTTACTCTCATTTTTTTAACTATACTTTCTGCCTTTGATTCTTTGACCCAGAAACACCTACTAAGATAGCTGTGCATGTATTGGCTGTCCCCGATTCATGCAAACTCAGTTCATATTTGTCGTGATTGCCTCCCCCTTAATTAGTGTTGAAAATAGCCTCCCAGTCTCCTCTTTCCCCCTTAACCCCATTTCCCCTTGTGATACCTCATTTCCTGTACTGTCACCTGATTTTAGATAATCTTGACTAGCGTCTAAAAGAGCAGAGTTAAGGGACTTCAGTGGTGAGGAGGCCACTGCTTTAGCCTCTCTTTCTTCCTATTCCAACAGTTTCCTCAGTCTTAGAGGAATCCATCCATGTTTGAATTGTATGCCTTATTTAACCATTGGTTTGAATTGCCCTGAAATACTGGGCTTTCATTTGACTTTGACATTTTGATAATTCTTTCTTATGTCCCTTACGAGTGATACAATCTTATCTTACCTAGTTTAATTTTTATAAGGAAAGAGAAGAGGGTGAGAAGTTGATAGAAAAGGAGGAGGAGAGAAGAAATAATAAAAAGTAAAAAGATAAATACACTAGAGGAGTCGCTTGAACAACAACACAAATGCCCTCTGCGTGTGTGGCAAGAAGCCTATGTATACTTCAGAGACTGAATAACTGTGCTTCATACTGGGCCCTGAATAATCCTGTTAGAAGTAATAGTAAGAATTTTAGGAAAAGGAAACAGGTATATGGACTCAGTACTATGGGCGGGGAAACTGACCAGAAACCAGGAAGAATCTTTAAGCGCTTTTGTTGAAGCAAGGTCTGGTCATCCCACACCTTCTTTTTCCCCCGCCAGGCCTCCCATGTCACCACAATGCCTTAACCCATCTCTCTCCAATTTGCAGAAGTAGCAGAGCCTCAAAATGGATACCCAGTTGTCTTTAGGAAAGAGATACAGGTGGAGGAAGACTCGGAAGGGAAGTCTTTGATGTAATTCAGTAACAGAGAGAGAGATGCGCTTCCCATCTTGAGTTAGAATTCTAAAAATACTCCTTATGGAATATCTTTACATGTATTGACTTAGTTCTGTGAACTCTGTTAGAAGTTAGATTTTTCTCTAACTTTAAAAGACTTTTAGAAGTCTTCTTTTTAAAAGGCTTGAAGAAAAACAAAGTTAGGTCAGAACATATGCTTAGGGATTTTGAAAGATGGCATGACTTATGAAGGATAATACACCGAAAAGTGCAGTCTCTTGTAAATTAATTTGATTCTGTCTCTCCGAGGTTCAGCTTGTCCCTCAGCAATGTCACCACAGGTCAGAAATTTGTCCTTAGCTTTAGAGGTTTCTGTGATATCAGTAGATTTGTAAGCAATGATGCCAGTTAACTAATTTTCCTGAGAAATAGCTTGGCTAAAAACTAAGGTAAGTAATTTATGTGGCGTCTTCAATCATGGAAGATATTACCATACCTCTTTCTTTTTCTTTTTTTGATGATTATTTTTAATGTCTTTACTATGTCAGAGGGATTATGCTGGGTAACAGAGGTAAAATGGTGAACAAAAAAGAGAATTTGTTCTGCCTTCCTGGGTCAGAAATGGGTAATTTACAAGCATGCTGCCTTCCTTGGAACCTTGAAATGAGGGTAACCATTTCTTAGGCTCCCATTATGAATTCAAATGCTGATTCCTTGTCACTATTGGTCACCACAGTAGGCCTGGTGGCTGCTCTCTTGGTACTACCAATCTAACAGAGGAAATGAACACTAATTACATGATTTACAAAAATGAGCAAATATTTAACAATGGACATAACTTATTTCTATGAAGGAAAGGAAAGAAAGTTTTGTGACAACAGATTAGTCTGACTTAAGCTGAAGTTTTAAAGCATGAAATGATTCCCTAGTAAAGTGATGTTTATGATCTAAAAGACACATTGGATGGAACTGTATGAAGTATATGTATAAGGGGATTGGTGGATGTGCATATGGTTTCTAGGAAGGAGAAATAATATATCAAGTGAGCTTGGCACTCTAAAAAGTGAAAGTGTTAGTCACTCAGTCATGTCCAACTCTTTGTGACCCCATGGACTATAGCCTGCCAGGCTCCTCTGTCCATGGCATTTTTCAGACAGGAGAACTGGGGTGGGTTGCCATTTCTTTCTCCAGAGATCAAAACCGGGTCTCCCACATTGCAGTCAGACTCTTTACCATCTGAGCTATGAGGGATGCCATGGCACTCTCAAGGAATTAAAAAAAAGTCAGTTTGGTTGCAGTATTGAAGTTCAGAAGAGTGGAACTAGCAAAGGCTTGGTAGGTAGACAGGGGCTTATCTAAGAGCTAAACTTAAATGTGTGACACTAAACTCCACCATAATTCGTTCAGTCAACAAATCTGTGTTGAGCAACAGCCTTCTGCCAAAATGGTGACTGGGACCACCATTATGGGAATGGGTGAGAGGCACAGTCATGGTACTTGCCTTCCTGGACCTACACTAATTAAATACAATTAAGTGTAAAATTTTGGTCGTGATGAGTTCAGTGTGACAGATATATACCTTACTAGATGACTTTTATCTTGCTCCAGAAGGTAAAGAAAGGCCTACTGGTGGCAGAAAGTGAAGTCTGAATATTAATAGAAATTGATTAGGCAACAGTAGAGAGCAGGAAGGTGTTTCAGATAGAAGTACTATATTTATTCATTCATTCAACAAATATGTATTGAGTACCTACTAGGTGCCAACCAGAAGTCTAAGTTTTGAGGTTAAGTATGAACAAAACATAAATCGTTCTTCTCTGAAGCTTATGTTCCAGCAAGCATCAGAATACCTAAGCAAGCTTTTTTTTTTTAATACTATGAAAAAGGTGCTAAAAACTATAAGGGAAAATAGACTGGAGAAGGAAGCAGTTTTACATGGAGGAGGTCAAGGGAAACTTTGCTGAGAAGGTGGCTTTGAGCAAAAACTAAAACAAAATAAGGGAGGTGTTTCGGAGGTGCATAGGTCCTATGGTTTTTTTGCATTTGAAAACTGAAAAAAGCCTATAAATAGAGCATAAAGGAAGCCTATTGTTCTAGGGAGATAGCTGTTTCTAGTGAAAAAATATCAGAAACCTGGTGAGGCCAATAGCTTTTACAGAAAATGCTCTAATGAAAACATTTTGCTGATAAAAGGTAGAACTATTAAAATCTCATTTTTAGACATGTTCTTCTATATGGGTTTAACACTTGAGTGTCAAGCTAAACATATTAAATGTGTCTAAGGCCACAGACCTGTAGGGTTTCTGGCATATAAAAATTGTGGATTATTTTGCTAAATGACCTCAATCTTAAAGTTATTAT